GTGGCAGGTTTTTCACTAAAAAGTGTGGAAAACGTCCTGTGTGCAGAGGGGAAGAAGAAAACAAACGGAGATCTGAAATAGCGTATACAAAGCATGCCAAAATAAGAACAGCAACCTCACCTGCAATGCTGACCCTACCGACAGCTGGCAAATTCCTTTATGAAGCTGGCGAAAGCTTTGAAAAGATGCAGCAGATCACTGAGGCAACAGTTTCTGCTGTGGTACTGGCAAATCTTTTGATCCGTTAGGTGTTTGAGTAAGGAACGTGGCCCGGGTGCTTCCACAGACAATGTGCATACTGTTTCTTAATGACTTGTCCTCCCAGAATCTTATTTGCTTCCAGTACTGTAGATACTATGTAAATCTTCCCCTTTAGGTTACCATCTCTTATTTTATAAACAGTAGCGACACCAAATTTACACACCATCTAGCATGTATGCACTGCATTAATTATAAAGCATTTTTTTTTATAAAAAAGACACTTATCCAAGATTCATTATATACGCTGTGATTATTTCTGTGATTATATACTCCTGTGATTATTTCTTGTTACTATCCTGTCTGGAGAAAAATGAACATGTGAGGATATAGGAAGTCCTGTGAAAATTTATTTACAGTCCTGAACAGATAGTAAATCTTTAAGGCAGAACAAAGATCTTCACATGCTAATCTATCCTATCCATCTTCTAAAGAACTGAAGATTATGAGTGTAAATTCAATACTTAAGCTCGTTTGTATAAAATTTAGTCATTTTTTGAATGCTATTTTTTTTGGACTCCCATAACGATAAAAACAGAGATATTCAAATATGGATAGACCGGCACTTTATGTGGTGGTAGGAAAAGGAATTGCAAGTAACCCTAAAAAAGGGAGTAGGTTACTTGAAGGAGGGATATATATATCTCACAAAGAATAGGCAAGATTTTAAAAGAAGGAAAAGCTGAAGAGGATGACAGAAAACACGATGGCGAAATGAAAAAAATATCAGTAGTCCTAAAAATGGGTATTACAGAGAAGAGAATTCCATCAAAAATTTCTTTTTGTCTAGGATGAAAAAGGTTGTCCACTCATTTTTTTAATGCAAGGTTTGTATACTTGACTACAAAACTTTGAATTGCTGTTGTTAAAATTTTCAACAAATGGAATGTCCACCACAGATTCTGCTACCAAATTAGTACACTAGAAAAGAGCAGTTGTTTTATAAATGCTTTTGATAAAATTTGTTATGCAAATTGTGACTGAAGAACTGCTCTACTTCAAAAGTACATCAGTTACAATATGTTGGACAAATGTAGGTGAGCATGTTCTCACAGTCAGCGATGCTGACCACAACAACAAAAAGTTACCCATTATCTTTTATGCAAACTCGCCTTTTGTACCAATTGGATTCCTGCTATTCATACTGACCCCTACAGACAAATAAAAATAGGGTTTCAGTAATATGAGGGTGCAACCTTTTTTTTCTTGACCTGAGATAACTGCTTAGATTTTAGATCCCATTCAACTTTAAAAAAAAGCAAAACACCACAACATTTTAAATTAACTTTCACACCAATCAAATTATACCTACTGGCAGCCTCAGGTTTGACCTTGAAGCTATGTGTAGTAATGCACATATAAAAAAATGCTACCAATACCAGCCATTCACACCAGAATAATATACTGCCTTTTCATACCATTCCTGAAAAAAAATCTGAAATCTCACCACTACTATAATAACAGTATTTATAATGAACAGTTTGCAGAGCATAGCCTACAAAAAGCCACCACATTACTATTGCTCAAGATCTGCTGAATACATTATATAGAAAGTCTTATGAAAATACTACACTAATAAATAACAGTATGCATACGATCCACAAAAATGCACTGACAAAATTGATACAAAGGATAAAGCTGAAAATGCACAATTTGGTTTGCGTGACAGTTAAAGCAGTTAGGCATTGACGGCTGTGAAGAAGGTGGACATTCTTACCAGGTTGTTTCAGAAACTGTTATACTTGGAGTATTTTTATGTGCATATGATAAAGAACTATAGTTTTAAAATACTGTCTTGGGCATTAAAAATCCCATCAACTTAAAATTATCTCTTAATAACTATTTGTGTGTGAAGGGGAAGTCAAACATGCTTGTTTGGTAAGAAGCGTTGTTCTCTCATCTTGTGAAAACCTGTGTCAGGAAGTGCTGCTTTACAGAAAATTTTGTGAGTAATTTCTTCTTGTACGCTGGGAGAATATTACATCTTTCTGTCCACTTCTCCACTTTTTTCTTCGCTGTTTTGCCTTCCTAGCTGCTGGAAAGCGTGCATTTGTATGAGACAATGAGGTTGAGAAGAGAGGTGAATCACCTCGTATTTTGCAGTCTTAGTTTAAGGAATAAATTAATCTTAGTTTAGGAAAAAAAAAAAAAAACAGTTTGAGAAAAAAATCACTCTAAGAAGAAAAACTTGCTACCCTTGGGAAGCTTTGTATTTTAAGAAAATATGTTTGCTGGCCTTTTTTTTACTTTCTAGCAGTCCTACCCCCACCCCATCTGCAGCCTCTGTTTTCGAAGGACACCAGTATTGGGGACGAACATAGTATTTGGGACAAACACTGCATTTTAAGGAACCCTGCTCAAGTTCCCATGATCTGCCACTTTCAGCATCTGCTGCAGAGCCTGCCTTCTACAGCAACAAACTGTGTGTTAAACCTGGGCCCCGACAGCAGCTTACCGGGAATTTTTGGAACGTGAGCAAAAGTGAGTCACAGCTCTTGCTGGAGCCGGAAGAGATACTGAGGGAAAAAGAGATGTGTTCCCGATGTGTTGAACGGACGCATAGTTTGCACCTTGGTCCGACACCACTCGCCTGTTGACGAGGGGGAGAGAAGGGCGGACTGAGGCCCGCGGGGTGTCTGTCCCTTCAGCGGCGCGTTCCGGGCTGTGTCTGCCGGCGCAGCTGTTACTGCGTGCCGCCCCTGCCTGAAGGTGCGCATCAGCAACCGGCACTGTGCCTGGCCCTTGTGCGTACGTGGGGAGCCTGTGCCTGCAGGAGGAGGAGGAGGAGGAGGAGGAAGGGCGGTGTTTGCCTGCCCGGGCTGCCGTGCCCGCTGGGAAGCTAGCCACCAGGAGGCACCCAGCCCACGCCGGAGGCTCGCCCTGCGCCCAGCCCTCCTGCGCCCGTCGTCCTGAACGCACTGCTCGGGAAGCCAAAGCTCCGCCGGAACGTCATGGCCGTCGTTGGTTTTGGTGACGGCCTGAACTCTGTCTGTGGCTGTGCAGTCATTATTCTGGAACATCAAATAAGAGCCTCCAGTCACTTCACCTGTTTTAATATCTTATTTTTCCCTTCGGACCTGCTCCCGGATGATGGTGGCAGGGAAACAAAGACAAATAGGAGAGCAAGTTCTGTTGACTGTAGCTGTCAGCTGAAATAGAAAACGCACATTAAGTTTTCTGTAGGAAATGAAAGAGAACTAGATTCAAGATGGAAATTCATATTTAGGATCTTGAAGAGAAATATAGACATCAAAGCACAGGCAATCTTTTAAAACCTGTTTTCCTGTGCTTTTCATGCAGCTACTAGGAGTCCTCAGGCTACCAGTCAACACTGTATGTTTGGAAAAATCTTGGCTCAAATATGCAGTTTTAAGGCACAAAATGATGAAATAAATAACCAGCCAAGCCTGTTTTAATCAGAGTTTTTAATCTTAGTTATTTTGGCACCCCTTTCTACAGGTGTCAAGGCAGTAAATCAATGCTCTCAGCATGCTGAAATTTATGGATAGATGCATTTTTGATTAATAGCTAGCATTTATTGTCTGGTATGGTCCGACTCTGAAATGTCTTCTTAAGAGAGCACAGTATTGGAAGCACTGATGTGAGTTAGGTAGATGGTGTCATTCGGTAGCAGTGCACTACACTTCTACAGAGGTCCTAAATACTGAATGTGTTTTTTCCTTGGCTTTCTCTAGCACGATTAAAATAAATCAAGGCTTTCATTTTCTCTGCACCCTGTCTTACTATTGTACTCTAAAGAACCTTATAGTGGAAACAACAGAAAGCATCTTTTCCTGTGAAAAAGGAGAATTCTAGCATTTGGTGTGGGATCAAATTTGGAGCAAATGTTCTGGTATTATTTTTAAAAAAGTAAATAATAGGAATCATTAGCCACAGCGATAAACATTTATAACGCCCTTCACAAATATTATTGGATCCTTTAAATGCATGTTTTCATGAAGAAACAAGGAAATTATTTTTATTTGATTTTAAATGAAACAAGTTGGTGTTATTATAAAATCATTGGTAGGCAATAATGACTATTACTATTATTAATAGTAACAGCTATTCCTAAACAGTAACCAGCTCCAAATTCTGTAATATATTTGCATAAGTATGCAATATTTTTACATTTTCATTGTTTTTCATTATTAGTCCGACAAACTAAGTAGTCTCTTTGAATTGCAAGGAATGTAAAATGTGCTGTAAGTTTAAGCAGATTCTACTCAAACTGCGTCTTTTCCCAGTCAAGTTTAGATCAGTTAAATTTGTAGTAGTCAGGTGTATATGCTCTGCCATGAGTCTTTTTGAATACTGTGACTCATTATGGAGCTCTGCACAAGTGAAAATGAGGTATCTGGTTGGTGCTTGAGCTCTTTGCTATGAGTACAACAGCAGGGAACATGGATTTTCAGCCTTGGGAAGCTTCTCTTAAGCTTGATTGACGTATCTTAATTGCTTTTATATTCTCTTTTAGGTTATTCTAAGAATTATAAACATTGCCAAGATTTTTAGCATGTAGTTTAAACACACATTACAAATTATGTCTGATAAAGGGATCTTCCCACGGATCTTATGCTAAAGCTTATTCTATTGAAAAAAGAAAACCACAAATGAAAAATATTTTTCTGATAACATATATCAGCAAAACATAAAACCAGCATTTAATGTTGCTTTTACTTTGGTATGCAGATACAATTAGCACTGCTACAGAAGTCAACAGAAGATGACTTCATGAGTTTAAACCAAAGTAAATCCACGCTGAAGTTCCCAGCAATCCTGTACTAGTTATCTTCATTCTTGTCACTTGCCAACCTGTTCTTCAGCTGTCTTTGGTTTTGATAGATCTGCCCACTGGATGACTGTAATTTTTGGTAAAACACTCATTTGTAGACAATCCCAGAAAGTAGCTTCTCTTCAGGTCGTTTGCACAGCTAAAAAACCCTGGAAATTATATGAAGTCAGGTCACAATTTTCAATATGGTTTCATATTAAAAGTTCAGAAAATATGTTGTATTGCTAATGTTATCTATACGAGACTCTCTAAGCTTGTGGCATTTTCTTTATTGAAAACGTGTGTTGTTCCAGATTTTCCTGAAAATTATGTAGACTCCAAAATAGCTTCATCTACATATTACGGTTGCTATTCCCTTATGTATCTTGACAATTTCACTACCCTTCTTTGCGGGGAATTAGAGACATAGCAGCACTAATGTGCCACTCGTGCAAAGTTCCCATCTCTTCATACCTGGTTTCAGTTTTCTTATGGCACAAGGTTTCTGTCCAATAGAGAGTTGAAATTCCCTACATTTTCATTGCTGACTTGTTATTCTGTGTTTTTTCTTTCAGGCAAGGAGGGATGGTTCCTACCCAAGTTTTCATTCTGGGCGCTGAAGAGGTGTTTTATTCTGAGCAAATGTTGGAATGCTGGCATTCATGGCTGAGGTGAGCAGCTGTTTGAACCTTATGACCAGGGCTGTAAAGGGCTGAAAATCACCTGTGGAAAAGCCACAAGTACCATGGTGGTGTGGAGTTGGGGAAAGACAGAAGTAGCTCTGAGCACTCTTCTTTTTGGAACATGCCTTTATGTGCTGATGAGGGTTGGTAAATTGTCATCCAGGGTCTAAGGGATTTGGGTGTGTCACTGTTGGAGAGCCTATGTGCTGGCAGCTGTCTAGGATCAGCAGGAGAATTACAGAAAAAAACACTTAAATGAATCTATGGAAATATGTTGTTGATCTTGGGTTTTGTCTCTTGGAGAGAAGGGCATGGGAGAAAACTTGCAAAGAAATGTCTCAAAATCTTCTAGTTTGTTTTAAGTGCAGAAAGAAAAAGGGTCCATTTTACATGATGGTGTAGTAGTAAAAGTCTAGTTTAATACCCTTATGATGAGGAGTGCAGTGTTCCTGGAAAGCAGAAGATGCTGGTCAAAATGAAAGTGACAATATGTTCAGCTACTTTATTCAAATAGTACTGTCAAAAAAAACCCCCAAACCCTATAATAATTGTTGCTAGCTTGGCAAGTGAGTTTCTGCGTGCACTCTTTCTGTGTGGAAGAGGATAGTGAACTTGTATCCATGGAGCAAGACACTTGGCTGTGTCTTTGCAAAAGTAGGTGTTCCTCTATTTTTAACGCTAAATGGAGTATACTTTTCAAGAAATTTTCCTGGCTTCCCACAGAGATCAGTACAAACAACTGACATGTTACTCAGATGGTAATAGTCATTGTCTTTGAGTACCCTTGTAGAGCAAGCAATTTCTAATTTCTCCATGAAAGCATTCTGCTTCCACAGTGTGCAGCTATGGAGAGCAAAGCAATTTCCTAGCCATTCCTCTAAATACCTTATAAATGTTTTCAGTTCATCAAGTTTATTACAATACAGCACAAAGGCTATTATGCTAATCACTCAAAGCTGGAACTTTACATGGAAACCTCTTTCTGGTTCCACTTTATACACCAAGAAAAATAGTTGCAAGGGTTAAATCTACTTTTAAGTTGCAACAATAGGCTTAATGTGACTGTGTGCATTTGACTATCTATAGGCATTTATCTGAAGCTCTTAGGGTACTGTCAAGCTTAACTTTCTTCATGCTTATTATTTTGAGAATTAGAAAGAACTGATGACAAAAAGTCCTAAATCCCATGAGGACTTTAAAAAAATGTGAGGCTTTTGATGTGTCTTGTTTTACTAGCATTTCTTGTTGGGCAATATACTTCCATGCTCAAAACTGGGTGGGAGGCAAGAATCCGGAGTTGCACAAGAAGATATTTCCATTGCAATTTTAGTAGATTAACTTGCATCTGAAGAAAAACATATGACATAGAGCAGGAGGGAAGAATTGTAGCAGTCTTCACTGAGCCACAGTTTTAAAAAATAACATATAAAATAGGCATCTGTTCCAGGACGTGAATGGCATCTTTGGCTCTTGAGAGAAACTGGTTGTTGTTAAGTCTTTTAGTCCCAGTCTCTGGTGTGTACCAGGCAGTGAAGGTGAAAATTCTGCCTTGGAGACTTGGGATTTTGCAAATATCTGCTGCTCTGGTCAAGTGAAGCTGGATGTAGCTCTCTCTGGAATCCATGCTATTCTGGAGACAGACATGTTGCAACAGGACAATGTGCTGATGGTCATTTCTGATAGACACCATCCCCTGGAGGGAAACTATGATGTGTGGAGATGCATTAAAGTCTGTTGAGCAGTGGCCAGCGCAGGCAGGACTTTCTCAAGGTTGTGGAGGGGGAGCAGTAATTTCAGGTCACCTGTAAATGGCAGGAAGGGAATGGTGGGAGGGAAAGGTAAGAACACGTTTCATACTATCTATCCATGGGTGTGTTCTGGCACTGCCAAGGTCAGGGACGGAGGTTGCTTACCTACAGCAATCCCCTAGCACCAGTGAAGGAGACAGTTTTTCATATACCTTGGTTTGCTTCATCCTGATTCATCAAAATGCAGAGTACTTTATTATTGCGGTGCTGTAGGACATCACCTATCCCACGCACCTGTTTTCCACAAGAGATTTGGAGGAGGGTAAGGGATAAATCCAACTTCTCCTAATAGTGGTAGACTGCAGAGTGAAGTACATGTTACTTTCATAAGAACAGCCGCTCTGGATGAGACTGAAGATCCACCTAGCCTGGACAGTAGACAAAAACTTACTTCTAGGAGAGAGGACAAGAACAGACTGGGTGCATGGCAGTAGGTTCCCAGAATTGTCCCTGTACTGCCAATGGTTTGTGTTTCATGGAGTACCTGAGATAGGCAACACTCTTGAGATTTTTTTCCATATATCTGCACTTTATCCATAGGTGACTTTTGTAAGCTCCTAGTATTTACAACACCTTTTGCTATGACTTAGCTACAAGTTATGTGATTAACCACCTTCCTTTGGTTTCCAGCCTGTTCACTGCAGTCAGGCAGCTGACTGTGTCTGTGCAATCCTGAGGCATTAACACACAAGAGATTAAATGTGGGTCACTTGGTACAGTGGCTTTTCAGTATAAATATCGTTGTG